CCCTGTAAACTGAACAAGCCGAGACGTGTTTGGCAGTGACCACGACGAAGTAGCCCGAGCATGACGTCTTTTCCCAAGGAGAGCTGGCTAAAAGAAAGCGAGAGAGAGACAGCATTTAGAGGGTGATATCACCTACATGAGGAAACATCGTACTTTTGGCTGTCTCTGCACATTCTCTCATGGGCTGCTTGAAGAAAACAACATAAAATAACTGAAGGTTCATGTACAACGAGCACGTTTAGGGATCGCTAACCACCGCGTGCTACTCGGACTGCTCGACGGAGAACGAGCCATGTTCGTACTTAGCAAGGTGTTCTAAATTGAAGCAGCACATTTCAGCTCCCTGCGCAGCGAAGTCTCCTCGAAGCAACTATCCGTGTGCATTAACGCTGCCTGTTAGAGACATGTTAGAGACTAGCCGTCTGACCGCGGACGGAAAAAAGGCTCCGAAACAGTGTTTTTGTCGGGCCGCTCCGGGACTGAACATGTTCAGAAACGTGACATAGCCCCCCGAACCGAGCCTCCGTCTACAGCCCTGAATAATTCCAAAAAGATCATTTAGGCGAGCGAGAGAGCGATGGCAGGAGGTACAAACATTCACCAACCCGTCTGACCGACATTTGGGGGATGTTGGTGCATCGAGAGAAAGGCTTTACTCCCGTCGTTTTGGTATCCGTCGGTCGCAGTTCACTAATCCCTACGATTTTGGTTCCGAAAGTCCGGGGGGTTCGTCAAGACAACCCCGTAGCGTAGCTCAGCCACTGCTCTCTGGTGGGAGAGAGGGGCAGATGGAGGCGCGCTGGCGCTGGGAGTTGTAGTGTTTCTAAACCCACGCCCTCGCCGTGTCAACCCCGAGCTGGGAGGAGCGGGGACTGCAGGTACCGGCATGCAACGCGGGAGTCCAGCCGCTTGAGGGGGGAAAAGGGGGGTCGCAACGGTGCGCTAAAACTGAAAAAAGCCCTTACCCAAGTAACAAAGTGAAAACACGGCGCCTAAACCAAGCGGGTTACGCGTCCCCAGACTCCGTGCGTGTGATATAATGAGCCTCGGTGGTCGCAGAGGATTTCTCCTGAGATTACGGGTCGCGTTCATGTAGTCTATTCGAGAAGGCAGGCACAAAAAAAAGAGTTGGAGAAGGTGCTGGTCGGTTGAAGCGTAGCGGCGAAATGAACACGCGGGGCTAAGGGCTAGTTCAACTCGGCCATGAGAGTCAGGGCTGCGGGGCGAGCTTCGCCCTCAGACATCGCCCACAGGGAACGACGGCACCCCGTAACACATCCCTGTGTTATTTCATATTTCTTAGACTCGCCTCCGGAGAAATTCTCTTTAAAGAACTTGACAACACGCAAGTCCACCGTCTTAACAAACCGCGACCCGCAGTTTTTGTAACGGTCGTTCTTAAGTTTCTGAAGAGCAGTTAAAAAAAAAATAATAAAAACATACCGACACTAGTTCACCCATTCTATGTTTAGACTAATGCACATTATTTATTTATTATTCCACAATACCATATGATAATGCTTATTATTCGTGCTCTGGGGCACATTTTATATCGTTTAAATATGAAATATTAAAAGACTTAAGTATTCTGGTCATGGCGCGTTTACAGACTGTGGTAAATGCTACACAGGCTGCGAGAGTCCGGTGGAAAGAGGTCATGTTTAATACATATTATAAATTCAGCCAGCGACGCAGGACTCCATACATCTAATTTCAACTCATTTAAAGTCCTGTGCTCCCCTGTATGAACATTTCTACCTGAAATGCACAACAGTTTAAATCTGTGTGTTTATCGGGAGATATTAGTTCGGAGAAGGATAGTTAGCCAATGCAGAGCGTTTATAAGGCTTTCAGAAGCCACACCTCAAGGTCACAGCAGCAGTAGACTGTGGCTTAGTATGTGTATTAATCTTCTTTATATAAAGTTGACTTAAGCAATCAACTTTACATTATTATTATTTTAATTCTCCAAAAGCCTCTGAAAGAGCATTCAAAGTATAATAACAAAACCAAATATATCAGTCTGTTGTCAACAGACTACATCTTTAATTAATCTCTTTGTTTTGTTTTCTGTAGTTCACTAGTTATAATGAAAATTATCCTGCAGGATAATTCTCAGCCAAGGGTCACAATAGCAAAAGGTGACAACTTACAAGTTCATTATGCCCATTTTCGCATCAGTATCAGCTTTTCCACAAGGCTGCCTATACATGTTCACATGTTCAGTCAGTGAAATAAGTAAAGAATCAAAGGTGCTTTGTGTTTTGCTGGCATATTTCTGATTCACTGCTGCTCACCTGTCTATACACATGACTTATCATGACATCTGAATTTGAAGTGACCACCACTGTTAAATCAGTGACTGGAGGAAAGAAAGGCTTTTCCTCAGCTTGTGAGGAACTCCCCACCACCATTAGGTCACATCATTCCTGAGGTCACACCAAGTAAAATCACATCTAGAAAGAAATATATGGCTCAAACTTAAAAAAGGAACACTCCATGCACTTAAGTCATCCATGACTGGGGGATCACAAGGATGCAACTAGCTGTGCTCCCAATAAGATGGAAACACAACAGTATACCTCTCTTTCCTTCTGATATATGCTAGGTATTCATATTTAGGCATTTTCATAGTCATATCGTTGAGGTGGTTGACAATTGTGCACGTACAGTGTTTTGATGACATTTAGTGCCAACTTATTACACAGTGAAGGATGTGTTTACTCCTTTTGACTAACTGGTGAAATGTCATGCAATAGAGGAGACACCTGCCACCCTAGGAGGTACCTGGCTACACATGGCTACAAACTGAGCTTCATGATCGCTAAGCCAAAATGTGATTTTTTTTTTTTTTTGGTAAACTGTACTTACTCTAACCTTAATTCATTATACAACATAATGGCAATTCGAACTGTTTGCATGAATGCATCAGGAAATTACTTTTAATAAGTGGACGTTTGCTATTCTGTCTGTATAAATCTTAATGCTACACAAATACAAGATACATGTATATCCGTCATTCTTTTCATACTTGCAAGTGTATGATATTTGGAATCTTTATTTCAGTGTTAAAGTTTACAGCTCTTGAAGTTGCAGGTCTCGTGGCTTGTGTTACCTATCATTGATCAGCTAACTAATTTAAAATTTTAACATGCAGTTAACAAGGTGGTTGTCAAGTTTAAAAACGAACTCTTTATTATACCCTGCCTTGCCCTTATTTGCTCTGCATCTTGTCCTTTTTTTTCTTCACACAGCCTGCATCTCTTGGGCTTTGGCCAGACACAGTGTGACACTACAACCACAACTTTAACTGTCTTTTAACAACACTGTTCAGAGGCACTTTATACTGTATTGGAGGCTGCAGCCTAGAATGAGGGCCAGACTCCACGGCATAGCCAACATTTTCTTTCCCAGGGTTATTCTAGTTTTTCTACATCACATTCTTGACCACTGACAATTCACATGGATGGACCACAGCATAAACTAGCAACGTAGGCCCAGAGTAATTAGCCTAATAGACTCTCCCTCAGCTGTGTGGCGACACTGATACATCCTCGGAGTCGACGACTAGCAGAAACCCGGAGTGAATAATATAGCGCTTCTCCGCACCTTCACATCATTATTAAAACTCCTTAATAGAAACAGCGGTTTAAAAAAGTATATTATTTACATTTACCTCGGTTGACAAGCTATCTGTAATTAAAGACGAAGGAGACAGTTTGCCGCCTTGGACTATTGCAAAGTCAGTTCAGTCGCATTAAAACGGCCTGAGAGATGTGATGAGCAGTTCTTCCAGACGATGACCTATTTCTCTTTATTAATCTCACATACTCAAATTTGGGATCCCAGAAACAGCAACACAGCTCGACCAACTCGTCTACGCGTGTGAACACATACAATTCGAGAAAGCCTGTCCGCCCTCGGCCATTTAGTCCACTAAGCCTACACAGTCTCATGTGCCATTACTAAGAGAGAAGGCATTCCACCGAAACGACAACAGGAGACACAAACATTGCTAACAGCCTAGCATGCTGTGAATTGTGGTCTTTCTGATAAAGGGGCGAGAGTGCGACAGGCTACATGCTGCCTGGACCGCGCAGGACTGATAAAGGTAAGTTAGGTTACTGAATTTACTGAAGCCAGACGCCTTCACACAGGCTGTTCGGAGCTTTTTCCAGTTATCGACTAGAGACAGAGAGAGAGATGGAGCGGTCTCTGCCGCTGACAGTCCGAGCAGCCGCCGTCTAGCATGTTCCGAAACGGCAGGCTAATGTTATGGGCTCTCCCGCCTCAACTCCCCACAAAAGCCTGAGGTAAAACAGCCCTGCGTCTCACCACGACTCTGACATTCAAAAGTTAGACACAAAGACTGAGCCGTTAGTCCGGGCCTGACTCTGCGAGGTGGCGGACGGAGAAAAGACGGTGTCACCTCCCCCATTTAGTGGCACGAAAACGACAAAACCGAAGATTCGACTCTCGCCGTGGTGCCGGACGCCTGTGTGCGGCACGGGACAGTTTAACGGCAGGCCAGCGCGTGGCTGAGGCGGGCCGTGTCCGAGGTGACAGCCTGAGAGAGAGGATGCAAAACATCGCCACACACTCGCGAAAGCACGCTGAAGGAATTAAAGAAGCACGGACTGCACTGACCGCGGGGCCGCTGCTCTTCATCACTTTTGTAGGCCTAAAACACATGTCACAGCCTGTCCCAGTCGCCTGAAGACTGCGGATGAGTTACCCTTATCATTAGCCTCTCACTCATCTGAAACGTAACGGCAGTCCTGAGTTCGGAAGGCTGCGTTAGACCACCATTAGTCCCGGCTGACAAAGAGCAGACACTCCGCTGGAGTAAATCCGGACCCTCACGTATGCACTCGTGCAAGCGGCAAAGTTTACAGAGTTGGCTATCGCCGTCCATGGCGTTTTGCAGTGTCCCCTTTAATGCCCCCTCGATCGCCGCTCCGGCTCGCCTTTGTTAATCGCGTGGTGCCGCGCCGCCTTACCTTACCGCCTCGAGCCGACCCCGCGCGCCTTCCAGCGGCCAGTGTTCACGAAGAAACCGCTGAACCTACGGGTGCCTGTGGCTTTCGCTTCGGTTCAACAGAGCGATCGAGCGTAGGATTGAAGCCAGTGAGGATTTCGGGCTTCTCCCCGCGATCTTCCCTCATCGCCAGTTTTCGACCGCAGCAGCTGGAGAAGAAAGTCGCGCTTCCAGGGTCCTAATGCCTGCCTTCTTCTCACAGGTGAGCCGAGTCTAAAGGCTGATCCTGGTGGAATAAACTAACTTCATTTATTTACGCGGTCATGTTCGTAGCTCTTGTTCCCACGTGTAGAGTGTTGTCAATCTGCATTTTGTTCTTTTTACTTATCTTTTAGTTATTTGTTTATTTTTTAAAGGTTTCACTTATTAGTCCGTGGGCTCCCACAGCCCTGGACAAAAGGGTTTCCAGTCCAGTGGAGAGTCATAGTTAACTGTACTGTTCAGATCTGATGGCACAGTATGTAAGATTTCTGACATTTAAAGTTTGTTAAAATTTAAAAACCCTAACTGTAATTAAATCAATATAATACTGCCAGCATCCTTGGTACACTGACCACATGGTAATTGTGTATCAGCCCAGCTCAGGTGCTCATACATAAAAAAGAACACAAAGAAACAGTAGACTAGTGAAGCAAAAGATGTAACTTCTTGCACCTTTAATCAGTATCTGTGAAAATACGGCCATCATGAGATTAAATGGACATCTCAGTTAGGCTGAAACATTTCATGCCAACCAACGATGTTTTCATTTCTGTTCTGAAACATCTGATGTAAAATGAAAAAGCATATAGAAGCCAAATTATAGATTGTCACCTTTTATTGTAAAGTATTTATGGGAATAAGTACACTGTCAGAAAAGGTTACTGCTGAGGTACATTTTTTGCTCACCAAGGTGCAAAAAACATAAATATACCATCAAAGGTACAATAAAGGTCTTAAGGTCCAATTGTGTAAATAAGCTGTTTTTTTCCAGGGGAAAAATTTGCATGCACAAGTAAGGAAATGGTTAAAGATACATACATAGAAGCTGGGTGGAAAAAAAAGAAAAAAAAAAGTTGTCTTACTATGTCAGCAAAACTGACCCCTGTGTAAAGTGAATTCAGCAAAAGTGAGACATCAGGTAAAGTGGGACAAATATATATCCTGTGCTGTATTGTCATTTTAGTGACAGGAGCTAATCAATTGTAACTATCATGAGCAATTAGCCATAGGTCATTAGGTCATTTATTACGGGCATAATGAAGCACTCAACCCACAATTCAGTTCTCAATACTGGTTTCACAATTTGATATTCTCACCATATATTGAACATTGTTAGAATGAAGAAGAATGATGACTGTATCCATGTTGTTGCACAATGAACATGCTGGTGTGGGTTGTTGATTTGTGCTGGTTGTCACACTTTTTTGCATTTCTGGATATTATGATATTACACTGCATTGTTACATCTCTCTCATTCAGTATTTGTTATCACTGACATAGTATGAATATTTTGGGTGTAATTCCACCAAACACATGCTTAGTGGTACAACAAATTGGAATACTTTTTATGCATAAAAATATTATGTACAGTCATATGCAGAAGTTTGAAAACCCTGGTCAAATTACATATTTGTAATTTTGTATTTAAAGTTTTGTATTTAAAGAAGTTCACACATCCTCTACAAAGAACACACTTAAATATGCCATTTTTCCTAAAATGTTAGTGCTCAGTTTGTATTTATTTTAACTGAGTTTAGCATATTGGAAAAAAAAATACAATGCACAACCTAAAATGTGCCATGACCTTTGCACAGGCCACATTATGTTTTTTTACCCTTCAGTATGTTAAATTTAGCAAATAAACAGTAATTGTGCATTAAAATGTGCAGAACTATGTTAGCTTATTTTCACTAAGGAATTCAACAAAATGTGTAATTTGACCAGGAGTGCCCAAACATTTGCATGCAACTGTATATTATGATCATTTGCAAGGCTGCAAAGTGTGTGGTGAAGATGACTCAGAGAATCACCAGCACACCCCTCCTCGCAACACAGAACGTTTACCATGCATTTACCTCAGTAAGGCAGCCAACATGCTGAGGGACACCAGTCCCCCTGCATACGCTCTGTTCTCCCTTTTTCTGGAAAACGGTGCCAGACAATCAGCATCTCAGGCCACGACATTCAGAAACTGTTTTTATCCTCAAGCCAACAGATGGCTCAGTATGCACTAAATCACTGTATAATACAAATGTCTTATTATTATATTGTGTGGACTCCAGTTTACCTACTGCACATTGTTTACTTCACCTTTAACATGCGTATCGTTGCTGTCAGGACAAAACCTCGTGTCAAAACCTTGTATTTTTGTCATTTCGAGATTTGAAGTTGCCAGCTTGTGTCAAAATTTTATGATGAATAGGCCAATAGAAATAATCCAAAATTACCTGGACTAAATAATCTCTCCACTAAAGTTAAGAATGTTTTTCCTTGTCCTGTAAAATTACCTTTTTGGAGATTTGAAGGTTTTGTTCTGAGAGCGATGATATGCTATTTCAAACTGTAATAATGTGTACTTTAAATACAACTGTAATTCTGATTGTTAGTGTGCACTTCTAGAATACGCTGTACTGTTCTATCGTATACTTATACATACTATTTCATTTAAATAGGCAACTTTATTTTACTGACTATGTTTGTCAATTAAATGCTTTACCATGTCAAATGTTTAATGTGGGTACAGTGTAATGTATGTACGTACATATCTACAGTTGTTTGCAAAAGTTTGGGCACCCCTGGTTAAATGACATATTTTGTTTAATTTCTAAGTGACAAAAAGCTAACACATCCTCTACAGTGAACGCGCTTTTTTTGTACAGTTTCTGTTTATTTGCTGAATTTAACATTGTAAAACATAAATCAGAAAATGAGACCTGTGAAAGATTATGGCACATTTTATATTTTATATTTTTAAGTATGTTAAACTTAACAAATAAATAGAAATTGTGCACTAAAATGTAATTTTTAAGTTTGGTCCCCCAAAGAGGATGTGTAAACTTATTTTCACGTAGAACCATGTAATTTGACCCGGGGTGTTCGACTGCATGCGACTGTATGTACACTGTCCTCTCTTGTGTTTAATCCCGTTCAGTAGTCATTACTTATTGTGTTGTATTGTATACATCTGTAAGAAACAACATACAATAAGAATTCCATTGCACATGACAGTTAAAAGAGCTTTGACTTTTTTGATTATTTTGACTTTTACAATCACAATTTTAAGAGTTCAAACGTAACCACAGTTATCAATGATGTCACAGTTATCAGTGTATTTATGACAGGATATTTCATAAGAGGCCGAATTATGCATGCACATACAGATAAGTCCAAAATTATTCATAACCATGCCAAGTTTTGATTTATAGTGATTTTTTTATTGACCAGTCGATTTCTTTTGGCTGAATATGACAAACAAGTAACAAAAGACAGTAAAGCACTGTGCTAGTCATGTTTATGATAAATAACTATTTCTTTGGTTTTTTTTTACATTTTTACTAAAAATGCCATATCCAAAGTTATGTATATACCTTATATACAAGTTTTTGAGAACATGTAAGCTTCTATACCATTGGTATAACCAAATGGTTCTGGTAACCAAAGGGCCGGTGTGGCTACAGGTTTTCATTCCAAAGCAGGAGATCACCTGATCAGCAGTTTGAAGACTGAAACCAACTGATTAAACAAGTGGAATCAGGTATGCTCCATCTTATTTTGAGTGAAAACCTGCAGCCACACCGGCCCTTTATGGATAAGATTGGACACCCCTGTTCTAGAGCATTCTAATCAGCTATAAATTGAGAACAGCTGATGCAGTAATTCTCTATTCAGTTACTAGTCAATTGCAAGCAATGGCTAAAATCAAAGAACTTAGTGAGGACTTCCAATTGTGCACTGTGGCTGCTCACAAGACAGGGAAAGGCTATAAAGCCATATCCAAGTGTTTTCAAGTGCCAGTGACCATACTACAAAGCATAATCAAAACATACAAGGAATTCCACACTGAAAAATCTCAAAGCACATGGTCGGACACCAAAAGTGACCCTTGTGCTGGCAAGAATAGTAGTGCAAGAGGCCAAGAAGAATCCAAGGATCGCCACCAAGGCCATTCTGATGACTCTGAGCAATTCTGGTACCAACATCTCAAGTCAGACACTCCAGTGGACAACGCACAAGGCTGGTCTCCTTTGAAGCTGACCAAGGAGGACTCCACTTCTCCAAGACAGAAAATGCCTATCAAAAGCTCACTTGGACAAAGGAGAAAGCATTTGGTCATCAATTCTGTGGTCGGATGAGACCAAAAGGGAGTTGTTTGGACACAGGCATGTAACTTTCATTTGGTGAAAGAAAAGAGACACATTCAACCCCAAGAGCACCATTCCCACAGTTAAACATGGTGGTGGGAATGTAATGCTTTAAGGGTGTGCTTCAGCCAATGGGCCAGGCAACCTAGTCAAAGTAAACGGCATTATGAGGAAAAGAGGACTACATTAAGATTCTGGAGGAAAACATCAGGCAGTCTTCAGAAAAACTTGGGCAGCACTGGCCCTTCCAACAAGACAATGATCCAAAACATACAGCCAAAGTGGTCAAGGAATGGTTAACTGAAAACAATATTTTGCAGTGGCCCAGCCAGAGTTCAGACCTGAATCCCATCGAGAATCTGTGGAGGAAACTAAAAATCAGAGTGATGGCAGGGAAGCCTTCAAACCTCAAAGACCTGGAGACCGTCACAAAAGAGGAATGGTCCAAAATTCCAGTGGAGATATGCTAAAAGGTTGTAAGCAATTATAAGAACAAACTGATTGCTGTGATGGCTAATAAAGGCTTGGCCACTGATTACTGAGAAAAGGTATGACTAATTTTGGACATGGCATTCTTCATAGAAATGTGAAAACAAACACAGAAATAGTTACTTTTTTATTTTTATCTCTAGCACAATATCTTACCACTTGTCTTGTGGTGTGGTTTAAAGAAAGCTGGATGCATTGAAATTGAGCACATGGAGAATGTCCTTTCTATAGTTCTCTATATTAATGTTAATAAGCTACTGTGTAATGGTGTTGCATATAGATGTAATGGAAAAACAAAACATTTTATCACTTTTAGTA